GTGTGTGGGGGGGGGGGGGGGGGGTTGTTAAGGTTGGGATAGGTAGAGATGGATGGGGTGGGACTCAGTATGTGTTTATATTTTAGAAAAAAATTTGAATTAAAAAAATATGGACGAACTAAACGCATTTTCAAAATTTTCATTTTTTTAGAAAATTTTTCCGCAACTAAACGTACCCTAAATATTTTTAACTGTATTCATACTTTTTTACTATTTTGATAAATTTGAATAACATTCAAACTATGTTCTTATTTCACGAACATCAACCACCACCACCACCATGGTGATTTAACACCAATAACTAACCCATATCAAATGCAGAAAATAAAGTGATGAATACAACGAAAGGTAAAAAAACAAATCCATATTATTAAACGGAACTCAAACTAGAACACCATACTTCAGTAGAAATCAATACACATCAAATATAATTATATAATTATCTAGATATGTCACTAAAATGAACCCGGACCTTAATCTTCAATACCAATTATTTTTTGATTTCTTCATTGCATTAGATCTAAGTTTTGCCTTCAAAACCGCTAAATATCTTTTTTTTTTTTTTTTTGGTTTCGATTTTCACTGGATTTTGTTTTTTGCTTTTTACAATCATGATGTAGAGGTAAAAGAACAAATTCAAAGGTAAATAAATAAAATAATCAAAACCACCACCAGGCTTTCATATTTTTGGTTTTGATTCCACCAGATTTTCAATTTCATATATTCACTTCATCACCATGCGACTTCGCTGAACCAAATTAAATATATTTAATATAAATAGTTATTCACAAAAATAACCATATATTTAAAAAATATATTTTGAAATAACATCATCTTATTCGGCCTTGATAAAATGACCATAAGGTCCATGAAATAAACATTACGAACTGCAAAGGTAAGATAAGGTCCCACAGGTCCCCACTTTTCAAAATTTCATTTTCGTCGTCTCATTAACATATAGTTGCTATTGTATGTAATTTTACCAATTTCTATAAGCACAAACAAAAGAAAATGAAAATGAAAGACAAAGCGACCATAAAAGGGTCAAGAAACTAAGACCAATAAAAAAACGAGAAAGAGGAGAAATAAAACTAAAACAAAACAAAACGAACCTCAAAGAAGTAAAAGACATACCCACATCATAGAAGCTACTATTTAGCTTCATAAATAAAATCTAGGGCATAAAAAAGCTACATTTAGGGATTTGACTAACAAGCTCTTCTTATTCATAAATAGCATCTTTGAACACCATGTGATAAGGCTCTATAAACATTAATGAATCCTTTAAACCCAAATAGTTGAAAAATGCTACAAAACAATTGAATTATGAACAGCAACATGATCTTTGACATCAAAGGAGACGCTGCTTCCCTGTTACTGAATCAACAATAGAATTGTACCCTGCATAATCAAGATCAAGAATTAGCCAAAAGGGCTAATCACTTATTTATATTAAAAAAAAAAATTGCATTTTCTTTACCAATTAATGCAACCATTTTGGTAAAACAATGCATAAATCAGTAACCATTTGAAACATGAATGCATAAATTTGTATGAGATCCACTTTGTTGCATACATTGCAAAAAATGCAACTTCATTGCATAAATAAGTGTCATGGCAGGATTTAATGTTTGTTTATCAGTTTATGCAACAACGTTTTACATGTTTTCTAAATTTATCCAACAATGTTATTTTTACACCAACCACATTTCAATTATGCAACATTTTAGATGTAACGTGTTTAACAAGTTAAAACATAGTTGCATAATTCGTGTCCATTGCAAAGAAATTTGGTAAAAAGGTGAAACATTGTTGCATAAATAAGCATATAACCAGTGTCATGTCATTAGGCAACCAGTTACAATAAAACGTGGTTGCATACTTTGTTTAAAAAAAAATACTTTGGTAAATAATTTGGAAAAAGAAAAAACGAAAAATAACATTTAACCTTTTAAAGTAGTTAACATTAATATATATAGCATACCAGGACCAATGGCAAGAACCGTTTTTGACCCTGCCAAAACCTGTGTAAAGCCAAAAAAAAAAAAAAAAGACTCAAAATGATTCCATAAATATAAATAATCAGAGTTTCTTGGATTCCAAAAATTATAATGTATGATTTCTACGTGCTAGTTTGCCCTATAAATACATACAAATATGTCATAAAAAAATACTCCCTCCATGTACTACGAAGGTCCATTTTGACTTTCAACAGTCAAAAGAGTAGATGCAAAAATGTCATCCATTTAGTTAAATTTAAAAGAAAAAACAAGGACATATCTTTGAATTATATAGATTAATATTCAATAAAAGCATATATATCTTCAAAAACAAAATACATTTGTGTGAATTTGGGACTTAAGGTAGACATATTTGACCAAAAATAGTCAAAATCATACCTGTGTGCGTCCTGCATCAGCTACAACATAAGTTGGAAGGCCGGTTCCCTCGGCTATTTCCTGCAGCTTATTCCTAATAATTATAAAAATATCAATAATAATAATAATAATTATTATTATTATTTTTTTTTAATGCATAGCCAAGGTGGAAATTGTTCTGAAAATAATGTGTAAAAGTTTAAAAAAGTCACCTGCTTACATTTCTTGTTGATTTTTACATGTGACGACTATTTTTGCCTGCCCACTTGACTCCCATCGATGCAAAAGATTCCGATGACTAAAATTAGCAAAAAAAAAAGCATTTTAATTAGACAGATATGTAAGACGTGTAGTTTATTTAGTCCCCACATCCAAAAATTGATGTCTTAAAGAACCAGATAGATTTCAATCTCAATAAAGTATGTATATAAAACATGTAATAGAGACCATAAACAATAATGTAATAATGTATACTAGATTTCACCACTTAAAGTTATAAATAGGATCAAAGGCAAACCTCTGCATTAGTTTAGAATATAAACCAGTGGCAGCATCTGCAATTTCCAAAAAAGAAGCAATTAATCAAGCAATTGATAAAAGAAAATTGTGAGACAATTAAATTATTAAGAGATCTCTTACGAGCACATTGAGAAGCAATTTTTCCTTGTCCCATCTTCAAATCTTGTCTAACAACAAGAACCTAAAA